ATGTAACGGCGTGGACACGTTTGCTGTCCAGCAGCTCGTGGTACTGAGCCTTTCTTCGACGGTGGCCCCATGTATTATAACGCCAAGATCTTGTTCGGGTTACTGAATTGGAGCGATCATGAGCTTGCGCATGCTATACTAAATCTTCCGTGGGAATGATCTCTTCTGGAAATGAGCAGCTTTGAGAAGGCTTCGAATATAGTCTGGCTACCTTCGCCTGCGAGGAAAGAGGATAGACCGGAATACAACATGTTTTGTTCCCGTATATAGTACCACATTTTTGTATATTCCTCAGAATCCCGGAGACCGAGCCAGATTGAGGCCGGAAAGGCGAGCCTTTTTTGCTCTGGTCCTCATTTTCCTGGAAAAATACACAACAACTTGTTGCACGATGCAAATGAAAAGCCAAAGCTTACTGAGTGCAGCCAAGAAATCTGATCAATGACAATCTAAAATGCAGCTCGCGGGACGCTTGCAGAGGAGAAGCAGTGAGCTCGATCGATCGATTCGGCAATAGAACCCTGGCTCAGAGCTTCTGAAGGCGTTGCCTGTCAAGAAATCTGATCAATGACAATTCAAAATGCAGCTCGCAGGACGATTACAAAGGATTTGGAGGCGCCGCGAACTCGATCTAGCGATTCCAAAGGCTTTTCAACCAAGTTGTGTTCGATTCCTGTTTCGTGAGCGTGATAGGACGTGTCCTTCGCGAACCAGCTGCGCCCATGTCCTACTCCACTGCACCGGCAGATCGCCGATCGATTGCGGGAATCTCATCGTACAAATATATGGCGATCTGGTATCTCTGGCTCCACGGATCGGCCCAAATTGATCGGGCTCCTCGAGGGCGCTTGGCGAGATCCTCGGGGACGCGCACCTCGGGGCTGGGCCGCATTCCTCAAGTCGGTAATAATATTCCAGGCAGAGGCAGCGCTCAGATCTTTTGCCAAAGGACACTGATTCGAGTCAAAATATATCAATTACTAAATGCATAAATGCATATAAAGATTATGAATTATAGAATTGATTTTATAATTCCAATCAATGACGTTTATAATACCTTTATCATAATTTAGTAATGAAAAGATTTCTTGACGATTTAATAATGAAAGATTTTCCTACATTTTATAGTATTTTTAAATTCAAAATACTTTTTAAGTATAATTAAAAATATAAAATAAAATCAAAAGGTCAAATTCTAGCTATCACCATTTCTATTTTTATTCAAATGAATCTTTTTTTCATATGTTTGTTCTTTTCAATTTGCTCCTTTTACTTTTCTTTCCCAATCCTAAGAAATATTATATGTGTTTGTTTATTTTGAGTGGGTGTTGTTGAAGCCATCTTTATTCTAATAGTTTAGAAAGTATTTAAGAATTTAAATATATAATTAATATTTGTAAATTAATGCACATTATTAAACTATTTATCACATGTTAGTTTGTTGCTTTGTTCATCACTGTATTTATAATAATTTATGATTTTATTGTTTTTAATTAATTTTAAGCTTCTAAAACTATGTAGTAATTCTATAAATTTATTTCAAAGAAGATATCATTTACCTTTAACTCATAAATTTATTTATTTCAAGTGTATAATTCTAGGTGTCAACTTAATAAAGAGATATATAGCTACAAAGAATAAAATATAATATTCAAGAAAATTAATATTATATTTTATAGTTATATAAAAAATCTTTAAATAAATTTATATTGTTATATATGGAACTAAATCTAATCTATCTATACTTCTATATAAGCAACAGTATAAACCCCAATAAATATATCTATTCTTATATCCTAAACATTCACATTAGTGGTGATGAGGGCATTGTGATTTATTCTTTGAAGAGCAAATTTTTTTGGCAATACTTTGCTTTAGTGATCAGAATTGTGTTTTTATTTTTATTCCTTCATTCTCTTTTAAATTTACATCTATATTAACTTTATGCAAGATTTATAATTTTAGCTATCACTATACTTAGATTTGTTCTTCTTTTTTATATTCATTGCATTGCCTTCTTCTGCTATATTATGCTATCATTGATTAAAGAATATATCACTTAAGGCTATTAATACTATTTTGTTGGATTGAGCTTTTGGCATAATGGGGCATGATCATATTGCTGTTGCACTTATCCTTGATGTATTACCATCTTTAGCTTTTGTGGGACATGATTAAATAACTTTACTATTCTTGATGTTTGTCATCTCCCATTGATGTGGATTATGATCATGATATTGATTGAAGAACTATAAATGATGTAGTTTAGCTTTTGGAAAATGTTCAAAGATTAAATTTATGGGAAAACAATTTTTACAAGCTTGAATGATTCTAGATTGTGATGAAAAGTTTAATTATTATGAAGATAGTTTTAAAGATAAAATAAAGATTTTGTGGAGTAAATGTTAATCCTTTAATCTATTATTTGATAGTTTTTCTTTACCATTTACATTTTCCCAACCTTTTTCTTATTTCTCACCTAACCCACCTTCTTATGTTCCTAGTGTTTCATCTTCATTTATAGTGTTTTCTTCTCCTAACATATCAATTATTTGTGACTTTTATAATTTTTATTCTCATTCTTAGTCTAGTATTGAGTTGAATATTTTTTGTCATCTTTATACTAATTTAGATATTAAGTATATACATGAAGTTAAAATTTTTGTTTTGTTTCATTGATAAAGTATTTAATCAATTCTAGTGTTGAGTATTCCCATGTTCCAAGGCTGAATTACTTTAGTGAATGTTCTGAGTTAAATATGTGTCCCCACTTGTGAATCCCACTAAAAGCTTTTGCTTTACCATTATTGCTAAAAAGTTTATATATTCTCGTGAGAGTGTAGACATTTTTATTCATAAAGGTTTAAACATAGAAGGAAAAGGCTCATGAACAAAAGTAAATTTTCCCATCTTAAATATAGAATTATGTATTAAGATGGTTGAGTAGTGTAAACATTTTATTTATATTGTAGTGGCTAAAGTATTTTATAACAAGAAGTCCCTTATTTTCCAAGCTTTGAGCATATATCTTGTTTATTTCCCCATTTTTGCATTGATAGTTATTGAAAAAAGTTTTTTAAATGTTTTTTCATCCACTTTTTCTCCTTCCACAATATTTATTCTTTAATTTTTTTTGTTTCTTCTCTTTGCTTTAATTTTTTAAACTTTTTTTTTCTTTGGAAGAAGGGGTAGAGGTGATAAACCCTGATAATGGAGTGAGGATAAGCAAATACAATGAACAAATGACATGGTTTGTGAAATGAGGATGAATATAACAAGTTTGAATGGAATATTTAACCTTGATATAATGAGGCCAAATGGATGCAACAGTGAAGTGAGGTTAAATATAAATAGTAGAGTGCGAATGAGTGTAGCAAGTCAAAACAAAACTAATGCATTAGAAGGATAAGAAAAATATAGAGAATTGACAAAGTGAGTTTAACCTTCATATATATTGCTAAATGAGAACAAATGTCGTAACTCTAAGTTAACATAAATCTTAAATATTAACCAAAGGGAAGATACAAAGATGAGTTCTATTTATAATTGTGAGTTTGAAGTAATAGTGGTTTTGAAGGATTGTCAGTGAGCAAATGTATTATTTATTACAATAGTGCTTTATGAATTGCAATGGCTTTTGAAGTTTTTTGTTTCAATTCAAAGTTATAATTTCAAGGTTGGTTTAAGCATTTGCTAGTTGCATACAGAATTGCAATTGGTTTATCAAGAGTTTATAATCAATTGATACTTATGCCATAATTTTAGGTTTCATTTATCAACAACTATATTAATATCTATGGGAGTTTTGGATTTTTATAGTAAGTTCATATTTGTCCAGCAAAAACATTAGATATTCCACTTGATTTATTATCATCACTTTTTCATCTTTCAAAGAAAAGGATGGTTAAGGTCTATATATATATATATAACCCTACCTAAATCATATGCTAATTATAGTTTATAAACTATTCCTTTGGATTGAATATAGTCTATCCATACTTGTATATAAGTTAGGGTCTAAACCCCAATTAATATAACTATTTCTATATCCCACTCATAATATGTATTTTAAATTATACTATTTTAGTTAAGTTTAATAAAAAATTTGATATTAATTTTAAAATTTATTTGTGTATAGATATTGTTGTAAGTTATCTATACTTTCTGAAAGTATAACTTTAAACTTTATTATTTTTATTCTTTAATAATCATGGTGTTTCTTCTTATTTGAGTTATATGATTTAAGACATTATTAAGGTATAAAGCAGCAAAACAAAAAATTTATTGACTATCCTTCTATACTGAAAATGTAGTGGACTCTTTTATTATATACACATTTAAATTAATATTACAAAGTTTATATATAAAATATTAAAATTAATTGTTGGTATTTTTATTTTTATTAAAATATCATAAAAAAACATTTATGGTGTTGTTACTAAAGAAGACACAACTTTAGTTGGTACACCTAGGAGGTATTATGTTTTTTATGTGGCTAGAAGGTGTAAATAAATAATAATATTTATTTTCTATTAGTTTTTATTTTAAAAATAACTTAAATTAATTTAAAAATTTAAAGTAGATTAATGTAATTTATTTCTAATAATGTTTTTGGAAAGAATAATATTGAGAATCTTGAATTTGTAAATTAAAATAGAAAAAGTTCATGCTACTTCTAAAATGGTAATATGAATCTTGTTGCAATGATGCTTGGAAGCAATCAAAGCGCAGTCGGCGGGCCAATCTTTACACCAGGATAATCGAATCTCATGATCCCGGTGAGGAACAAGCATATATGCTCGAGCACAGTGGGGTACTTTCCAAAATTTCACCACCCACGGACACACGACACACGACACGAATAAGAAGCAGGGATCCAAGTTGAGAATCGCAGGCTTTGGTTTTGTATTGTTTTCTTTCCCCCAGGGACAACACGCAAACAAAAATGTGTTTATTTTGGCCTTCCAGTGTCCTGGGAAAGAAAAAGAATGCGCACAGCAATGGGTCAGCGAGAGAGAGCGGACGGTATGAGCCACCAGACGTGGCGATTCCTTGGCCGTCCGCTGGGGGTTTTCCCACCGTCCATTGCTCTTTTCCTTTCCCCTTTAATTTTTTCCGGCATCGCAGCTGTAATGCATGATTTCCAAGAAGGCGGTCTCTCGAGTATGTCCACCGGACGAAGAAGATCGCATTTCTTTTGAGCAATGAATTCTACGCCTCTCGTGGTGCCGGGTAAGCCCCAGCTTTTCTTTTCTCCTCTCTCTCTCTCTCTCTCTCTCTCTCTCTCGATTGAGTCGATTTATAGCTCGCGAGTCGCGACCACCATAGCTTTGCTTCGTGTAGTTCTTTCACAAGCTTTTCCTCTCTCTCTCTCTCTCTCTCTCTCTCTCCTTCTCTCTCTCTGATCTCTCTGTGTCTAGAACTGGAAGAAATGGTTTGCGATGCTGGAATTCCACTGATCGATCTCGCTCCATTTTTCCAGGCCGAGGCTCCCGAGGTCTTGGAGCTCCGACGCCAGAGGATAGGAGAGATTGGAAATGCCTGCGAGGAGTGGGGATTCTTCCAGGTCCAGAACCACGGCCTGGATAGCAAGCTCATTACCGATTCCTTGAAAGTTTCCAGCGAGTTTTTCGATCTTCCGCTGGAGGAGAAGAGGAAGCTCTCGCTGCCGGCTGGAGTTTCGCCTGTCCCGATTGGATTTTGCTGTGATAGTGGCCTGGATGACAAGGTGGAGAACAAGGAACATATGTTCTTCTTTGCCGAGGATGGGAAGAAGGCGACCAAAAATGGTGGTAGCTACGCTCAATACAATGTCTGGCCTGACACTCCAGCGAGCTACAAGTAAGCAAAAAATGTCTCTTCCATTTTCTTTCTGGTCCACCATCTTTTTTCTCTATTCTTCTCGATTCTTCTCTTTTGTTTTGGTTGCTTCATGCTGTTTGATTGTTCGTGGAGTTCTCGCTTAAACTATTCTTGTTGCTCGCTCGATCAATCTCTACCTTCTCATTTTTTAGTCTGGATTCTATGAGCGTGGGATGATGTTGTCATTTGCTTTTAGTTTTTTTTTCTTCTCTCTGTAGATAGATTATAAAGCTTCGCTTCGCTTTCTTCTTCTCTCTCGTCTCATCACGCTCACAGATATATTTTCCGGTTTCTGTTCTCTTTTTCCACAGTTTTCGTACTGTCTAGATTGAGAATGACTGGTTGTCTGGTTGTTTTTCCTCTCTTCATAGGCCTATTATCAAGGACAGGCTTCTCAAGGAGACCCAAACAACCGCAATCTTCTTGCTGAGCCTCATCTCCCAGAGCCTGGGCCTTTCAAAGGACTTCCTTTATGAGCACTACGAGGACAAACTCAACGCTTTGATAATGCTCCACTATCCCCCGTCTCACTCCACCGACGAGATCGGCCTGTCCAAGCACCAGGACGGGAACATCCTCAGCGTTGTCGCACAGAGCGAGGTGGAAGGCCTCCAAATCCTCAAGGATGATAAGTGGATCACCATCCAGCCGCGACCAAACTGCCTTGTTGTCAACGTTGGTGATATAGTCCAGGTAAAATCTGCATATGTGTCAAGCATAGTAATCAGGAAATCCCTTGATCCAATTCGATTCATGTTTTCATGGTTCTGATATGCTCTTCCCGTTCGTTCATATGCCTGCAGCACAAGCTCGAAAGTTCTTTGTTCTTCTTCGATCGATTGGTGTTCTTGATGCTCTTGAATGTTCTCTTTGTGATCATATCTCCTACGTGACGTGTTGTGGATATAAGTTCTTAGTTCTTGCTAGATGCATATTCGTTCAGAAAATTCGAAAGTTCTTGGTGCTCTTCGATTGTTCTTTCTGGATTAGAGTTTGATGCTTAAGTATTCAGATATTTTCACACAGGTGTGGAGCAACGATCGCTACAAGAGTGTCTTACACCGCGTAATCAACAACAAGGCAGGGACTCGCTACTCTTTTTCTTTTTCGTGCGTTCCCGGAGTCACCACTCAAGTATGCCCACTGCCGCAGTTCACTGCAGGTGTCAACGAGCCGCCCAAGTACCGAGAGTTTCGATACGGCGAATACATGATGTTCAGATTCGAAAACAAGAAGGTTGGAGGTCCCAACTCAGAGGAAATCACCATCAAATACTACGCAATATAAAAGAAAAGAGTAAGAAAGCGGTTTCTAATTACTAAGTTTAAGAAAAGTTGACAGCTGGGAATGTTCTAAATCGGACATGACATAAGAAAACGTTGACGGCTATGCTTGATCTTGGAACTATTCCACTTTTTACTAGGGCATAACATAGATTTGTGTTCTGCTAAACTTTAGCAGTGGGGAGAAGATCCATAATCTGGATTCCTCTCACTTTGTTTGGAGGCAGTAAATAAGAACACTGCAATGGAAATGGACTCATCTACAAAGTGCTATAGAATCTGTTTAACTTTTTATGCATATGGATTATGAATCTTCAAATAACAATCTATAGGCACGGAAGATTGCAGCCTGGTGATGATTAAAATTTACAACATTGCTAAAAGTCAGATTAAGTTAATCTTGGCTCCAAACCAAAGAGTTTTGTAGAGGGAAAGAGGTTTTAGAAATGCCAACGGTGGAGCTAGATGAGAGCTCCCTGCTGGACGTCTTCACCAAGGTGGGCAATGCACAGCAGCTCGCGATATTCACTGGCGTGCAAGCAACGGTGGCAGCTGCGCAGGGCCACACTTCGAATTTGATTGAGGTTAGTGGCAGGGAGGAGCTGAGGGGCTCTGAGGATGCCATCTCCCCAAGTACAAGGCTGCCGGCTCAAGGAGCTCAGAGTCGTTAGCGGAAACGTGACCAGGTTGAAGCTAACGGTTACCGGCTTGCCTGGGCTGCTGACTACCTTCAATGCTTTCCCTCGAAGCTTGGGAATCATGGGGACCGTTGAAGAATCCTGTTTGGTCGACACCTCTCGGCTCTGGTCTCATCCAGGTCTTCACCAGCGAGCAAAAGATGACCATGGACAATTGGTTTGGCTGCGTGGATGTTGATTCTTTTCTTTCCAATGGTGTTGCACTCAATGGGAGTTTCGTCTTCTTACCAATGGTGTTGCAGTCATTTTGGGGGTGTCTCAAAGTGCAAGGACTTAACTACTACACCCAACGCAATGGTTCTCAGGGATTTACTTGAAGATCATCAAGTCAAAGAGCTTGTGATTCACTGCAAGAAGATAGAATGTCTAGTTAGCAAACAAGTGAGAAACATAAACCTATAAACCATTTTTTGCAAATTTTTAATTTTATTATTGGTTAAGTTTTATTTAATAAATAAATAAAAATAAAAATAACTATATATTTACAAATAATAAGGATCTTCTAGTCTACAACTGGTTCTTACAACTCTACCATTTATATAAAAAGTTTAATGCTTACAAACATATCTATTTATTCCTATGACTTGTTGACCATGTCCCTGAGGGCAACCCCCATTTAATGGTGTACATAAATCAGTCTCCTTGATTAAAAACCCATAACAATAAGATATAAGTGTCTTTATACCCTTCACTTTACCTTAGTAGAAGATTGAAACTTGAATTTAGCTTTGCTTTACTAGGGGGTTGGGATTTAAACCCAACCTCTGTAGATTATGTTTATGGATTTGACATCCCTTTAGGGAGCTGGGTGTAGCTCTTTATGCATTATCGACCTAGCTAAACTTATATTAATTAGTTTACCTTTAATGCACCTTCGGGTCCTAATATATGACATTCCTCAATTTCATAAATGGATGCTTTAATTGAACTTTGCATAAGTACATAAAATTTTACTTTGCAAAATTCCTCTATTAGATTTTGAGTGTTTGCCAGGTTATCTTTCGATTCCTATATTACTTTGCAAAGAGGAAATCCTTTTCATTTCATATGAAATTCTTTCACCTCACATCCTTGTTGTTTACTCTTGTATGCATTGAGGATGGCTTTAACTTTGTATTTCTCCTCCCTTTAAATAACCTTGGATAAAGGTCTTATTTAGTTTTTGTGAAGCAGATCCTTAAAGTACGGCCTAAGTAAGTTCATGTGGAATATCATCTTTAGTTATGTTTGGCTAGTGATACTTTCTCTTGAGTAAGCCCATTGTTTTAGGCATTCCACTGTGTTTTATAAAAGGTCCATCATGACACTTTTTTAATGTTACCTTCTTTAATTCCTATGGAATATACACCCTCATTTACTTATAATAAATGAGTCTATTGTATTTCATATAACCCATTTTCTCTTCTTTAAGTAACTTGACTCTTTAGTGGGCATCCTATGCCTTTTAGTTCCTTAATAACACTTCCTATGCTAGACCATCATCCTCATATGTGTAAACAACTAATGAAAACAATTTAGGAGATGATCCATGGAGTTCAAGTATAAAGGGAAAGGGCTTATAAATAAGAGGGTTAAGGGTCTTAAGATATACATTCTTGGGTTTGCTATGTTGAGTGACTTCCCGGGAAGTCCAAACTCAGAAACTTACATTGGGTTTTAAGTTCAACTTTGTTAGTTAGTTAAAGAAATCACACCATATATTAATTGATATCTGGCAGGTTTAGTTTACTTTGGCTAAGTTCAACCCAAAGGGTAAAGTGTCAAGAGAGTGGGGCTTTTGGGAGAGCTACAACTCTTAACTTCCATTCACGAAAGCATAAACTTGTAGGGAAGCGTCATAGATTATAATCAATCAAAAACAATAATTTAAAAGACAATCCATGGAATTCAAATATAAAGGGAAAGGGCCTATGAATAAAAGTGCACCCCCTTTTTCAATCAGTTAATAGTTTTGGGATATTTGGAGTTAAATGTCTTTAGGTTTGAATAGTACTGGTTGAGTGACCTCCAACCCAATCCAAACTTAGGGGTTTACAATACATTGTTTGCACATTATCCCAAAAAATTGTTGTTACATTGAATATTGCTAATTTTAAGCTTGCTTTTTGACTTAGAGCATCTGCCACAATATTGCTTTTCTCATGTTTATATAGAATTTCACAATTGAACTCAACTAAAGTATTGGCCCACTAACCTTGTTTTCCTCAGAAGTTAAAAAGCTATGATAAAAAGTGTTTTGTTGCCACATTATCCATATATGCTTTGAAGTGCCTCACAAAGTAATATCACTACTTTAAACACAAAAATATTGTCTTAGTTCCGAGTTGTCCTCTTGTGAACATCAAATTCAAGTAGGAGTATTTAACTTTACATTGCTTTACCTTTAGATCTTGGACCACTAGTCTTCAATCTCTTGAAGACTAGTGGGGGGTCTTAGTTCATACTTGGGAACTATTTGAAGGAACTTTTTCTTATAATGCTGGGACATAAAACAACACACCAAATGAATCCAGATGAGTAAAGACAACATTTTTTGTTTTTCACAGTTTATAATTTATATTATTGCTGAACTCATGCACCAGCACACGTCCACACGTTGCTATAGACTTCACTGCCACTAAAAAAAAATAAAAAATCCAAATAAATAGTTGGATCTTGACAATCTTTAGAAGAGAAGTGTATGTTTCATTTCATTTTCGATTGAGAGAGGGGTGTTTTATATACGTGGTTGGTGTATGTAGTTGCTAGACTGTCTTGGGAAAGAGATCAGATTCGTTGAAAATTTTGTCTCCACTACTGCGTCATATTTCCATCTTGTTGCTTATCCAAGTACCACGTCAAGACTAAGATGGCAGTGTCCACAACTTTTGACAAAAAAATATTGACTCAATATCCCATGGATAGATTGACTCGAGATTTCTTACTTGGCTTTCTTTCTTTTTAATTTTTCATGTTCTAAATTCATTCTGGTCATTCTGGTCACTGCGAACGTTCAACAACTTTCCAGAAAAACATTAACATTTTCAGGGCATGAACACGTATATAGAGATCACAGAAGACTCATAGGACTCCACTCATCCGCTGTCAACCCAAATTTTCATGATTCGAGATGATCCCGTGGTTCTTCGAGAGCCGAGGCTAACTAACTTTGGCGATTCTTCAGCGGATGCAGCGGCTGCCATTCCCCTCGCTGATATCGATGGCATCTGTTGTCATACCCGTACCAATTGCATTGCGCAGCGAAAACCATTCCAGTAACATCCTCTGTGTAGCGCTGCGCCATATCGGATTGATCGCTTGACAAGAGTTGATTGGAGCATCACAACCAGGCCTAGGCACACCTAGCGGTGGGAGTGGAGGTCGGGGGGATCACAAGGCACCAATGGATTGATTGAAAGTCGAGGGATTTGGAGAAGAGAGGAGGAGGAGCAAGAGAGATTCAGATATTTTATATCAAGGCCTGGACAATTTATATATTATTGCTGGAACTCATGCAATGCCATCCAGCATCGCATGATACATAAAACACGTTATCAGTGTCTTTATTCTTGTTTCCAGACCTTTGGCACTGCAGAATGATGAAATCAAAGGCAATTATGATGCTGATTCTTAACTTGGGCTTACCCCGTGAAACAAGAGGTTTCAGTTGCGCCAGCAGCGATTGTTGCGCCAGCTCCAACCCCTCTGGCAACGGTGGCAACTATTGTCATACCAATACCACCCCGACTGGCAGCGCTGGGCAGCAGCCTTTGTGATTCCTCCCACGTCCACGCCCATGGCCAGCATCATCACAAACATGGCGAGCGCCAAAAACAACACGAAGAAAGCCTTGTTCTCCATGATTTGCTGACAGACTAAGAGAAGAGAGAAGTGGTTGATCTGTGAGGCAGGAGGGGCTCATATTTATAGCTCGAGACAGCACACAATGCTTAATGGAGTCTACAGAGTTGTCTTGGGATGGTAGTCCTTATCTTGTAGTAGAGCTCCGTGTTTGGGAATTTCTTCTCTTTTCTATACTGCTGGGATCCACATAATATCTTATGCGCTCTCCAACCCTTCAAATGAAGTTTTGATTTGTTTATCCAAAGTCAGTCACTTTAGCTCGCCATTCCTCTTCTACCGTTTCATACTACAAGGTTGGAGATAGAGAAAGCCAAGGAATTTAGCTCGAAAGATCCTAGTGTTTGAAAGCGACACGTGTTCTTGTAAGCCTTGGCCTGTGAGTTGTTGGTGGTATTCCACTCTCTCAGTTATGTTGTTTCTTTGTCTCCATGCTCTCTCAGTCATCCGTCCATGGAACATTTCTTGTGAAACCATGCTGTTCTCAAAACGTAAACAAGTAAGTGCCCAGCAAATGTTGAACGGTTGGCTAACGTAGATTTGGTAGAGAGTGGACATCTAATTCTGGTTAGCTGATTAGACTAGCTAGAAGTGCATGCATATGGCTATGACTGAATCTCAGTGATTAGCTAGTAGATATGATAGGAGAAAGCTTCTATTTCTCAGCACCACCAACAGTGGCAGCAACAGCATGAGCATGCCTATCATGCCTCTTCTTCATGGCAGTCCATTCCAGTTTTGCCCCCAATTACTTGCCCAATTCCAACAGCAATGCAGCAACACTATTACACCCCTCTTCTGGTGCAACCAAACATTGCCTCTCCCTATACCCTGCAATGCATGGCTGAGGCCAAAGCATATGATGTGGCATGGTGATTTTGATGATACTAGGCCTGATCCATCACCTACAGCTCATTCCGGGCCGGAAATGCCATAATCACCAAGCAGAGAGATTGCAGTAGCGCAATGCCACCAAGTGGATGGTTATGCCTAAGCTCTGAGCCCACCTCCTCCGCCCTCTTCGCATTGTCACAAGACACTGTTTTGTAGCTTTTGCACGTCATTAGGGTATTGGGAGAGTGATGATTTTGTTCTCACAAAGTTGCTGATAGTGCAACTCTTCACTAGAGAATGCTTAAGTCTTCAAGAAGCAGAGAAGGAGAACAGAGAACGTGCTGACCTATATTGGCAACCCTCACCAAGGCATTTGGCAAAACCAGCACATGTTTGCCAGCAAGTGATGCTCCACGTTTTCTTAAGGCATCATGATGTCTTTTGTAACACTATGGTAGAGGCCATGTGCATATCCCACCACCTGCTATGAGAGATGGCCAAATTTCCACAATTTGTATGCAACTTATGAATTGTGAGCTTTTTGCCACTATCTGGAAAACCAGGAAACATCTTTGATTTTGAGGCCCTCTTTCTCCTGGCAAATAGTGGTCTACACTCAATGGGGGCATGTGACAATGCCTAGTGTGCTTGGAGTGACCTCTAGGCATCTACCAGCTTTGGCCTCCAAAGAAAATGTTGCTGCCATATGGCATGTCATGTAACAACACAACACCAACTGGCTCATCCAAGCTATTGAAGGCTGCTTGACTGCTAGAAGCTTGGAGAATTAGAGGCATAGTTTCAGCAATTACTTACTCTAGGCATTTGATAGGAATTATGTGAGTTTTTTCTGGAATGGCATTTATGTATCCAAACTTTAGCAGGAACTGTAGCAAAGCTTGTCTAGAAGTATAAGGCAAGGAACTGGTTGCTTACCAGAAAGGGGTCCGGGCAAATCATGTGGTGCAATCAGCTGAGCTAGTCTTTGCCTTTTATCCTTTGTTATGAGATTTAGGAGCTACTACAATATGTGTTAGAACCTTGACACTTCTTACACAATACATCATGTTCTTTAGAACTCAAGTACACACCTAGCTCCACCCTTTTCACGTTGACTTAGTATACTCGAGCAAAAGCCTTCCCTTTTGATCTAATAAATTTAGAACATTAAAAGTGTTTTAAATGAATCCAAAACTTAGAGCCAAAAGTGGCTAGTATATAAACCTGCATACCAAGCTGAAAAATGCTCTTTGGATCAAGCTTTCATAGAATTCTTGGGCTATATTGTCTTGGATCCTTCCAAGGTTCACATTGTAGTTTATTGGAAGCAACTATCAAGTGTTTATGATATCCAATGCTTCTTGGGCTTTGTAAGTTTTTATCAATGACTCATTTGTGACTTCACTCTTCCTTTGGTAAATTTCACTTTTAAATTATGTTTAGATAGCTGAGACAAATCTCTACTTTCAAATTCGCACATATTCTATTGCATTTGGATAACAACAAATTATATTTTAGAATGTTGTCTATGCATAACTAGCCTTTTTGAATATGTTCGTGCTTGTCCATATTTCCATTTTTTGTGCTTGGGGTGTTATTTTTATGTTAGACAAGTATATAACTTGATGATATGAGCATAGTGTTTAGGTTTTGTGAAGGTAAATTGAAGAGTGATTATTAGTTGCTTTGTGATTAGTGATTGTTTGTAGACCTCATCAAAGACTATTAACACTTGCTTCACTTGATAATGATTTAGCAATGATAAACTTACTTTGTCGGATGGTATTGCAAAGGATTGTGTCATTGTCCTTACATGGTTTTTTCCAAGTTAGCATATTGATTCCATCTCTGACGATTTCATTTGGTTGCATTTAGTCTAGTGATTCATTCTTTGATAATATGTTATCTATAGCTGAGTATTGTTGAAGGTTTGGTCTCAAATACTAAATAAAGTATTTTTGATTTCGGTTAGCTTGGTTGTTTGAGAGTGTTGAGTGGTGATTCACTCTTACTTTCTTTTAGCTTTGTTTTAGTGTTGATGATGTTGAAATGATGCCTTGCTATTGACATTATTGAAGTTAATATTGAAGTGAGATGGAATGTTTTTCTATAGAATTAATATTAAATTTCATTAGTTTTGATGTAGATAATGTTGAAGATTTTAGTTATAGCTTTTTGTTATTGGCAACTCAACTCATTTGAACACTAATATAGTTGCTAACTAATAAATGTATAAAGACAATTTAAGTTAGTCATGTTCTAGACAAAATTGTTTAGTAGGGGTTGAATTATAGATTATACTAGCTTTAGAGAGGAAGAGTTAGTGATCGATATAAGAGTGATTGAATCCTTATTGAATTTGAATTAAGATTATATTGATCATTGATGATTCTTATTGCATTTGTTATTCAAAAAGAATTCATAGAGGATTATTTAATAATCAGTTGTTGAGTATAGTTTTGTTATATTTGGCTTTTTGGTTGATGCAGACATGCTCTTCATTAACTTTTGCATTATAAAGTTTAGCATTTGGAGATGTTGAAGAGGATGTTGTGAGTTATATTATAATTTCTTTTTTGGTATTGATATTAGTTCATGCAAGATTTGTGATCATTATTAGGTAAGACATAGCTATAATCTTCTTTAAGCTTTTGGTTCTTTGAATTTTATGTTCATTGTTTCATTTGTTAAGAGTTGTTAGGGAAGGCATTTTAGCTCATTCGCTTTGATGTTTAAATTGGTATTTACAATCATTGGTGGTAGTTGATTATTATCTCTCTCTCTCGATGTTTTGTATTCTGTTTTAAAAGGGTGTGACCATGTAAACAACTTTAACTGCCTATTTACAATAGTCAATCTAAACCTTACTGATGGGTTTAATTTTTTTGTTCATAAGGGTTGTGATTTGTAAATAGGGGCATATCATCTTTTATAAGCTGGATGATATCTAGAGTAACAAAGGTGGGTGACTCTGTTGGTCATTTTTTTATCAGTGATGGCTAAAAGGTGTTTGAGTTGGTAATGCATTTGCATTAAACAAAGAAGTTACCCTCTAACTCATTTAAGTTGGCACATTTCTCACAAAGTGTGAATATCTTGAATTTTTTCTAAAGTTGCAATAGTCTAGACTAGAGTAAATATTAACAAGGATGTCAATCTTCCCTAAGAGGGGGAGAGTGTTGCAAACATAATTATAGGTATTGAAAGATATTCATTGGCAAATCTTTTCAAATATTCTTTTCTTACTACCAAGATGGCATGAAGTTAATATTGCTAGACCTTTTATCAATTCCCCTTATACTAGTGGAGTTAACTAGGCATTTTAAGTGTTAGATTTCCTATATATTATTAGCTAAGCAACTAGTCTAGAAGCAAGAATGAAGTAAGCACCCAATGCAAAGTGCTCCATGGCATTAACATCTTGCAAACTTATCTAGCATAGTAAAGAGTTCTTGTCTTATTGTGTTTTGCACTGGCTAGTGAAAAAAACCCTTATGTATTATGACTAATCCTTTAATATTGCTAAATGATATTTTACCGTGTTTGCTAAACACTTTTGCTATTAGGCCTCTTATTCTGGTCCTATTGGCTACTTATGGAAAGTGTTTAAATCTGTTAATTGGGCATATCTACAAAATTTAGAGATTGTCCTTAGTACAATGGTGTTGTTTTTACTTAAACTTCATAATGCCAAAGCTAGTGAAGAGCATGTTTGCATCAATACAAAAACTAAGCATAATGAAGTTATGCTTAACAAGTGATCATTTAATTGATCCTTCACCAGATTCGCAATATAACATGATTCTGTATTTAATAAGTTTTTGTGATTGTCTCAAAGACTAACTCCTAAGACTAAGGTGAAAGCCCAAAACATGTGTTCCTCTAGAGGAGGGGGTTTGGGGGTTTCAAATATATAGTAAGGATAATGAGTAGGTTGAGCAATAGTTGACCAACTTAAGGTATAATCAAGCTCCCATTTGCATATCTATGCTTGTTTTGTGTTTAATTTGGGTTTAAGCCCAAGCTCTATACTATGCTAGTTGGTGAAGTACTTATATCCTCACATTAAACCACTAGTATATTGAGATAGCACTAAACTTTGTTTGGCTTTGCTTTATGTATTGGTCTTGGAGTTGGGATGTTAAATGTTATGACTGTTTTTATATCATTTAGTATTCCTATCCTTTT